GATGGGGGAGAGCGAGGGGCTGAGTAGAATTCCATGCTCATCCCTGATTGCACGAGTCTGAATGAGTTAGACGACATTGATTGATGCACTCGGGAGGTCTGATTTCCTTCTGCGCAGGGCTAGAGAAGCCTTGTTCGTGCAGAATTGCTGCGAAAGATAACAAGTTGCGCATCGATCAAGCATGGAAGAACAAATCTGTTAGTTGAGGAACTCGTAAGTCGTGGCAATATGCTTTTCGTATTACTGTTAAAGGTAGTGTGTTGACCAAGCACGACCTAATAGTCGAATGCCCTGCTCCAGCAGTCCTTGGCAGGAGCAGAGTGAAGTTGGAGTCGCAAGCCGCAAAGAAAGTTGACACATCACGTATGGCAATCAGTGAGGCACTATTGGCTCGCCTTGTCCTCCCAAGTAAAGGCCACAACTAATACCGAGGCGGCCCACCATATCCGCCCTGCTGACCAGGTTGACCAGGGTAACCACCCTGTTGCGGTGGCCTGTACCCACCAGGCTGTTGGCCATACTGTCCCTGCGGAGGCTGACCATACTGCCCGGGCTGAGGTTGGCCATATTGACCCTGAGGTGGTTGGCCGTACTGTCCGTGCTGCGGCTGCCCGTATTGGCCTTGAGGAGGCTGCCCGTACTGTCCCTGCGGCGGCTGGCCATACTGAGGCTGACCATACTGGCCCTGAGGTTGACCGTACTGAGGCTGGGATGCGCCGTACTGGCCCTGTGGTGCGCCGTATTGGCCCTGCTGCGGACGTGGCCCGCCTGCACCGCCTTTTTCGTCTTTGCGGTCATATGTGTGGTCGATGGCACCGAGGAGGAGCTTGACGAGCTGTGTGAGGGTCAGCAAGAAGGTCGGATACTGGAAAGCGCACAGATAGGACATACCCATAGCTCAGGAGTAAGATGGACTGGCGGTTGGGCACGAGCCATCTCGGCAGACTCGTTCTCGTAGTCTGTGCGTTGTCAGAGGTTATTGAACTTGGATCGCGTTTTGCAGTGAGCCGGTGCTTACTTGAGGTGCAGTCGACCAAGTTGCCGACCATGGGATCGCTGTCGAGCTTGCCCAAGAACTCTCGCGCCTTCTCGTCATTGCCGACTTGCGCGAACTGGAACTGCACAGCACCAGTGCCGTACTGCGGCATCCTGCTGAATTCGCTGGAGACCCACTTGATGGCGTCGAAGACAGCGTTTTGCGGCTCCCCTGCCGGCTGACCGTCGGTGACGGTGATTACAAGTGCAGGTTTCCTCAGCTGGCCGGACCTAGCTTGGCCCACAATCTCGTTGAGGACCTTCTCCCTGAGCTGCGTGCCCATAGGGGTGAGGCCCTTGAACTGAACGCTGGCCATGAGCTGCTCGATCTGCTGCTCGTTGCGGACGTTGTTGAGGAGCTGCGGCGGCGGCTGGGAATTCATAAAGCGGATGGAGATGCCGTCGTCGTCGAAAAGGGTGGCGGCGAAGGCCACGCGCTGCAGGATGACTTTGAGGTCTTTGATACGTTCGCCATCCTCTTCAAATTGCATGGAGCCGCTATCATCTGCCAAATGTTAGCGAAAATCCTAGCATGGAACAAAAAAATGCAGATAACAACATACCAATGTAAAGCCAGATGTCAAAGAGACCGAGCTTAACGATATCACTGCCAATCTCCATGGGGATCCGCCATCGCTGGCAGAGCTGCCCGACCTGACCAGCGGCGCGGTTTGCAATCTGATCTATTACTGGGCTGCCGGGGGGGTAAAAGCCACGAAGCTGGTTCTCGTTTATGCAAGCCTCAAGCGCTTGCTTGAAGCCGCCAACCTGGGCCGGCGAGGCTTGCGGGGGCGGCGCGCCGTAGCCTTGGGGTGGGTAGCCGCCTGGTTGCTGGCCGGGATAGCCACCTGGTTGACCTTGGCTCTATGAAGAAGAGATTGTCAGCTTCTGCCCAACCCAGTAACATTAATAGAGAAACGATCTGTCCACGAACATATCCATATCCGGGAGACGGAAAACGCGGCGGCTGTGAGGGCGGCTGCAGTGGCAGCTGTCCGTATTGTTGCTGCGGTGGGTAGCCAACCGGTTGTCCAGGCGGCGGAGGGGGAGGTCTGCCATATTGCGGCTGCTGCCCATACTGCTGTTGTGGTTGGTACTGGGCGTGAGCTGGCGGCGGTTGGGGCGAAGGCGCATAGCCTGGCTGGTAAGGTGCGGGTGATGAGAATGGGGATGCGCCGTAAGCGGGTGAAGGTGGTAAATATCCCGGCTGTGGCGGTTGACCAGGTGTAAGAGCGCCGGGGAATGTTTGATAGGACCGGCCAGTGTTCGCTTGATAGGGTGGACCGGACATGCCGGGCTGCGCAAGCTTTGATGATAGGCCCATATAGTTGTCGCAGCGCTTGTGTTTGTCGAAAGTGCGGTTTCTTTGTCCTTGACGAGCGGTGCGGTAGTGATGTGATGTGCTGTCTAGGTCGAGTATCGTTGAGGATGGTGTCGGAAGGTGAATGTGTGGGTGACGACGGGCAGTGATGGATGACGCACGCCAAAGTGACGGGCAAGCGAAAACACGAGGGATTGCTGCAAGGGGGAGACTTACACGAGCGCCACCGGCGGAGTAAGCTTGATACTGCTGTTGGCCGGGCTGCTGAACCGTTAGTGGCACACGCGGAGGCCAAGGAAAGGAGCCATCGTAACTTACATAGTTTCCACCCTGTTGCTGGCCGCCGTAAGCGGAAGGTCCAGCACCAGGCGGTGGTCCTGCTGCAGCGAGCTGGAGAGCAGAGTCAACCTCGCTCCTCGCACTTCATGCCTCGTGGCCTCTTTCTGGAGCAGGGAGACAAACCTTTGATGCGAGCTGCAGAGTCCACAGAGTCAGCTGCAAGTTGAATGGTGGGGCAGTGAGGGGCAGCTCTCAGGCACGAAGGCCGATAATCACACTTACACCCATCGTTCGGAGTACAGTTGTTGTTCGGTTGCTGTAGGCGGGAGGAAGTGTGGGCAGAGAGACAACTTATAACTGGGCTTAGGCAGTCGACAGTGGTGGTTTAAGTAGTGCGTCGCTGTGTGGATTGTTGTTCAACGTTTCCAGCACTTCATGGCTGTGATCTGGCAGGGATATTTCCGCTAACCTCCGGACCCCACCTTTGCTAGGGCTGCGTGGATGCTCAGCCACAACCTTGTTTGACCGCCCCTCGGTCGATCAGTCGTACCACACACAGCCCATAACGATATTCACCTCAACTCCTGAGTAATTTATGCAACCTCCCTAAGCAGTTCACTGCGACTGTGTGCACTTCGGTGCACGACGAACCTGTCTCACGCCGCACGAACGGAATAACATAAGGCCAGCTGAGTGAAGTTCAGGCTTCGCGTACAGCGCATCCATTAACACATCGGCCGCTCATGAGGCAGCGGTAAAGTATTCAGGTCTGCTACAGACGAAGCAAAGCAAGCAGCCCACTGGAAAGCGTATTGACATCAACCACGGGAGCAAAGACGCTAAAGTAACAAGAGATAACTCAGGGTGCCGTTCATTACAGCCCACGTGATGATTAATGATAAGATAGGAATGAGTACTCAGAGCCGAGTAGCGGGTATCGAGGGGTATCCAAGCATACATAGACAGGGAAACTATGTCCCCAGGCGTAAACACGGTTTAGAATAGCGAGAGAGCGAGAGAGCGAGGGGAGAAGACAAGAAACCTCAACTTCGTCCATGAAACACAAGCAGCAGCAAGTGCCACAACCGCTAAGTGCGAGAATACTAACAGTCGCAGCTGGTACCGAGCCATCCGGAAACCCCAGTATCTCTGGCTTCTCGCGGCGCGCGTGTTTGTTCAAGCGCGTTGCCCATAAGCTCCGGATTGATGGCAGGATTTGACATCCCCCAAGCATAACACATCAGCTCCAAGCGCCATCAACATCTTCGAAAAGCTCTCTACAGCCCTCCAGCCACCGACAGTCAAGCACATCAGCAATGCACCAGCGCCGCTCGACATCCATTGCCAGACACCCTTGGATGAGCTCAACGATGTCGTCACCCGAGCTCTCCTTTGCAGCAGGTGCCTTTCTCAGAGCATTCACGTCGTACTCGCCCTTGAGGATCATCATAGTCAGCGTCGGGTTGAATCCGTGCTCAAAAGGTAATGCTCCCGTGATCAATGCATAGACAAGACATCCGAACGACCAGATGTCGACCGCGGGGCAGTAAAGCGGGCCCCGCGATGTAAGAAGTTCAGGCGCCGCGTATGGAAGGCTGCCCGCAACCACGCAGCTAGTCTCCGAAGGCCCAATGTTGCGCGGACCATTATCGTATGGTTCAGGGACGTGCCGGTGTTCGTTGGTAATGAAGTCAGCCATGCCGAAATCGCAGAGGAGGATGTCGCCACCCTCTGTGCTGGCTTTTGGGTCGGACATGTCCACGAGACAATTCTCTAGTTTGATGTCGCGGTGCACTACCCTCACATCCTCGTGCAAGTAGCGTATAGCGGATGCCACCTGGTAGGAGTACCGTTTGGCTAGGCGGGCGGGTAGACCACGGGATCCAGACTTGCGGGTGCTGCGTACAAGATCGAAGAGGGTGCCGCCTTTGTTCAGTTTCGTGATACAGAACGTAGCAAACGGCGTGTCGTATACAGCGATGAGCGGTAGAATATAGCGCTGCTTCAAGAACCGCCAGATCTCGACTTCACGCTCGAATTCGGCCTGCACTCTCTCATTCTCGTATTCGCCCTTGCCGTCGACCTGTTTGCGTACGATCTTAACTGCTCGCACAATCTTCTGGCCTTCCTCCATGGTGGAGACTTCTTTGACCACGCTAAAGCCACCATAGCCGATTTGACGGCCGATGAAGTATCCGCTGCGGTCTCCAATCTCCTGTCCCTCGTCGTCTGGTTCCGTGACCGCCGCCGCTTCTTCTTTACCCCAGTTGGAAAGAAATGCAGCGGCTGGGGACATCGAAGAGTTGGATCGAACGGTGCCCCGCCTACTGCCCTTCCGGACGCTCCCAAAAGCCGACTTCTCGGAGCGATAGCTTCTAGAACGCTGGCTCAACGAGCTGGACGGCCGGCTGATGGGGAATGTGGCGCTGTGGCTGGCCGGGAAGTCCATCGGCGAGGCAATAGGAACGGGTGAAAGCAAGTACGACTGATCGCCCATCGACACATCGGCAGGCGTCGAGAGTTCCTCGAGAGGGGGCGATGCGGTAGCGTCCGATGTCAGGGAGGCAACCCGGTCCTGGGTGGGCACGGCCTCGCCTCTTGCAAGTTCATCCACCGTGGTCTGCAGCAGGGGATGTCGGCTTTCGCCAGTCTGATATATGGGCCTGTGTACGGGTTTCCCGTCGTCCAGTAGCCCGCCGGTTTCCGGGTCATAATGCGATCGTGCTGACTCGCTCACCGCTCGTTCACGCTGGAATGAATGAATAGAGCCGTCCATGCTCCCCTCCTCAGCATCCAGAGGGGCTTCTACTTTGGCGGTCTTTTGGGTATGCCATGGTTTAGGTAATGGCGCTTCCAGATCATGTTGACTTCCGCTGTCCACTGTCACCTTCGCGTCGAAGCTTATGGAGGTTTTACGTTTGCGAAGAAACTCTCCATCGCCGTGCCCCAGGTCACCGTCCGCCCACGAGCCCATATCCTTGTTGTGGTAGCGGGGCGCAGCGTGGTTGAAGTCGGCTGTCGTCGATGCATCGAGATTTCCCGCAGGCTCGGCGGATGGCTCATTGGTAGCATGGTCATCGCGTCTGATAGAAGCGAAGGCGGACTTTGGAGGTCTGTTGGTGGTCTTCGTGTCGAGTCTAAGTTTGCGGAATGTGTGGGGTAGCTCAACTGGGGCCATCCGACCGCGCGAGGGTGGAGGCAAGTGGTTCGCGTCGACGGCGGCGGGAGATTGGCGCAGGCTGGTTGCGAATGTAGTTGGCGTCCTTGGGCAAAACCGGTGGCGACTTGAACAGGATTCTCTATTCAAAAATCCGACTTCGGACGGAGGCGCTAGAGAGGTTGCAGCCAGGCAGCGCTTTGCGGAAGCCGGCCTTAGGACTCCAGTCGATCAGCCAGCAAAAGGCATTGGAGCTGTCCAAGCTGGGATCAAGGCGTACAGATTAAGAATATGTCGGTAGACGTGTATCCTGCCCGAGCAAGCTGTGAGCAGTTGAGTGCACGAAGGCATGGAATAGTACCATTCCCGATCATGAGTCCCGCTTTAGGCGAGTGGCACGTGGGGGGGGGGGGGAAGGAGCTGCAAAGAAAGAAAATTTCCGTGACCAAGCGCCTGCCGTCAGATCCGTCAGCTACGCCTGCCGCCCCCGCCATGACGGTTGTGTTCTAGCAATGCGCGTGAGCTCAGTTGCGTGCAGGATTGGATGTTGCAGTAAGATTGACTCAAGGGGGAGAATCGCAGCGCGGAGCAAAATCCGCGATAGCCTGCCCATCCCTGCCCCAGAAAATGACGGTAACATCGGCTTACCGGGGGTTTTGTTGGCCCACCGTCAGCGCAAATCTTCGGACCGGGCCTGGTGCGCTTGCCAGTCCAAACTTACCGTAGCTCTGGTAAACTACTTACCCCTCGTGTCACTTAATAGGTAAAGTAAACACTCCAAGCAGATGCCGTTCAGAGAGTACCTTGTGCAAGTCCTTGATCTCAGGCTCTACTTCTTAGTCGGACAACTCTGATGGATGGCTGTGCACCTGGTGGACCTCGTCGAGCTCTGAGCACATGGCCCATGGACCGGTGGCTGCAGGAGAGAGCTCGGGACGATGCAGTTACATAGATGATGACCACCGACAGCCAACCTAAACAAACAAGACGCAAGACGCAGTCCACAAAGATTACTCCGCGGAGCTGTCGCGGCTGCCCCGGCATGCACGGCTTGCTCTCCAGACGGCCCCTAGCCGTTCTGTTTCTTCCACTCCCTCAGTCCTGCATTTGACGTCGTTCGTCGTTCGTCGTTGCTCGATCCAGCCCGGGGAAACGTCGAGCGGGCCGCAGCTTGGCGCTCCTCTGCTCCCGGACTACCAACCACCACTTGCATCCATCTTCGTCACCCCAACTGCTGGCCCGTTGCTTGTATAGCTTGCGGCTTGTATAGCTACCTTCGCGACCCCGTACTCCTTCTGCGACGTCTACGGCGCATCTATCTACCCTGTTCGCGCGCTTGAAACAGGATCTCCTTCCCGTCGGCCGGCTGGGCCCTGACATCGCAGCATGGGCATCTCGTCCTTCTGCGCGAAGCTGTGCGGACCCTGCTGTGGGGGTGCGTATTCTCCGCAAAACCCGCTGTGACTCCAGCTGACGGGATCTCCCCTATAGGTCGCTCCAAAGATGGCCTCTACGACCCCGTGCTTGCCGATAGCGAGCGGGAAGCGGTGGCAGACCTACTAGGCTATCTCGAGAATGTATCCGCCCTCAATCGCCTACAATACCTGGTGGACCTTGCTTATATACATCGACAGAGAGCCGAGACCGACTTCTTCTCCGGCGACCCTCTACGCGCGCTCAGCACTCTGGTATACTCCGATAACCTCGATTTGCAACGGAGCGCCGCCTTGACCTTTGCCGAGATCACCGAACGAGGTTCGTCTTCCAACACGAAAACCAGTACTTGACGCTGACACCGGAGAGCCAGACGTGCGCGAAGTTGACCGAGACACTCTCGAGCCCATCCTGTTCCTCCTCCAGAACCCCGACATCGAGGTGCAGCGGGCAGCCAGCGCAGCACTGGGTAACCTCGCAGTCAACAGTATGTTCACAAACGACGCGACGAGGGACCATTGCTAACAGTTGGCAGCGGAGAACAAAGTGAACATTGTGGCCTTGGGCGGCCTTCAACCACTTATCCGGCAGATGAACTCCACCAATGTCGAAGTCCAATGTAACGCAGTTGGTTGCATAACGAACCTAGCCACGCATGAAGACAACAAGGCGAAGATAGCACGGTCCGGAGCGCTGCCGCCACTGACCCGGTTAGCCAAGTCGAAGGATATGAGAGTACAGAGGAATGCGACTGGCGCGTTGCTCAACATGACACACTCCGGTACGTCATTGCAGCCACCACGGTGCGGAAATCTAGGGCGGTGTATACTGACGTCCGTTGCAGACGACAATCGGCAGCAGCTCGTCAATGCGGGAGCCATCCCTGTCCTTGTGCAACTGCTGGGCTCACCGGACGTCGACGTGCAATACTACTGCACCACTGCTCTAAGCAACATCGCCGTCGATGCAAATAACCGGAAAAAGCTTGCGCAAACCGAAGGGCGCCTAGTCCAGTCACTGGTACACCTGATGGATTCGACATCTCCGAAGGTGCAGTGCCAAGCTGCGCTGGCTCTTCGAAATCTAGCCTCCGACGAGCGATATCAGCTTGAGATCGTTCGCGCGCGGGGCCTACCCTCCCTACTCCGACTTCTACAATCTTCTTACCTGCCGCTTATCCTCTCTGCCGTAGCATGCATCCGAAACATCTCTATCCACCCTTCCAACGAATCACCCATCATAGACGCAGGCTTTCTCCGACCACTCGTCGACCTCCTCGGCTCGACCGAAAACGAGGAGATTCAATGCCACGCCATCTCTACCCTGCGCAACCTTGCGGCAAGCTCAGACAGGAACAAGCAGCTCGTGCTAGAAGCGGGCGCAGTTCAGAAGTGCAAACAGCTAGTACTGGACGTACCTCTGAGCGTGCAATCTGAGATGACGGCAGCGATTGCGGTTCTCGCCCTGAGCGACGAACTGAAACCACACCTTCTCAACTTGGGTGTGTTCGATGTGCTCATCCCGCTCACAGAATCGGATAGCATCGAGGTGCAAGGCAACAGTGCTGCGGCTTTGGGCAACCTGTCCTCGAAGGGTACGAATGCCACCCACCCCGTCAAATAGGCTTTTACTAACGAACGTAGTCGGCGACTATTCTATCTTCCTCCAGAACTGGACGGAGCCTAGTGGTGGCATCCATGGCTATCTTCGACGATTTCTAGCCAGCGGCGACCCAACATTCCAGCACATCGCCATCTGGACTTTACTGCAGCTACTTGAATCGGAAGATTCTCGCCTCGTGGACCTCATAAGAGACTCCGAGGAGGTTATCCAGATGGTCAAGAGCATCGCGGATCGCAACGTCGAATCAGATGATGAAGGAGATGAAGATGGGGAGGGAGAGGTCGTCAGCCTCGCACGGCGGTGTCTTGAGTTATTGGGAGGGAACAACCACGAGCCAAAGACGCTTGTCGAGGGCTGATGATGCCCCCTTGAACCTCCAAGTCGTCACAGTGTTTGACACATCTCTATCTATTACACCCGATCCGTCATTTACAGCTTGCACACCTCGACCACTTTTTTACCCCCCCGTCGAATGTTTCTTGGGTTGGCAGCCAGGCGTTCTAGGAGAGCGAGCGGGTCATGTCGCAGCGAGCATGGGCGGTGCAAGGACGTTTCTCATTATACCATTTTTGTTTTTGGATGCGTTGGTATTGGGATGATCGCTAGGTGTGTCATATCAAAGACACTGTGGGAAACAGGCAGACTGTCTGTGCTCTTGGTATAGAAGCATGGATTCCGCTATTTATGCCTGCCTACCTTCGCCTTCCTACTAGTTTCCGCAACTACGTGTTGAACACAGACACACAACACTCGTGAGAAACACCCGGACATACACAAGGAGGATTCCCAAGGCTCCAGGATGTAGCCCACGCGTAACACGCTCCCGTAGCACGACCGGAGCCATGACCGCCTCGCATCAATCAATCGAAGCCCACGCCCCCAGGATGCCGCCAAACCCAATCAACACGCCCCTGACAAAGTTCAACTTCCCAAACCTCTCCAGCAACTCCGTGACCTCGGCATCACCCCCCTCCTTCCCCACGGCCTCCTCTCCCCCCTCTTTAGCCTTAGCTTCCAGCTCAATCAACCGCCCATTGCTCGCCGGCACCATGACAAACGCCGTAAACGGCAGTATAGCCGCCACGCTCACCGCGGCAGCCGTGAAGAGCCGCGCGTTCGAGGCGCTGGTGGCGCTGGTGGCGAGGTAGCCAAACAGGCCGCTGCTGAGGATCGCGAGCTGCGGAAAGACGTGCGAGCCCGAGGAGAAGATGCTGCGCAGCTGGTGCAGGCTCGCCGTGCTGCTGCCCGCGTCGGTGCTGCGCGCGTTGAGCACGGGGACCGTGTAGGCGGATAGAGAGAGGATCGCGCCGCTTGCGAGGAGCGAGGTGCTGATGGCGAGCGTCTTGTTTAGTTGGAGTTGGTCCGAGGTCGCCATCGTGGAGGAGGTTGAAGGTCTGTCTTATTGCACACAAGGAGGCCTTTTGAGTACGGGCAACAGGTGATAGAGCTCTGTGAGGGCCTGCGAGTTCCGCGGGGAAGAGAGGAGACGTAGATACGCGGGGTTCTGGTTCGGGGCGCGAGATGTGCTACAGCTCGAACACTCCGTCCTCGGAGGGGTGGAGAGATGGACTCGAATCGCTGGAAGAATGACAAAATTGTACGGTTCGAAGGAGTACAAGAACTGTTAACCTACAACGTGCGATTGCCCTTGATGGAGTAATCGTTATCCTCGATAGCTTAACATAAGCTTCTGCGGGCTGATGTCATACAGCGTGTGCGGGACGGGAGCTGGGGTGACTGACATGCACGCGAGGGACAGAAATCGCCGGACTCGAAAACAGATAGGTCTTCAGTCAGCTGAAGAGTAATCATGAATAGAAGCAACTCCTTATAGTATACTATCTTATGAATGTGTTCAAGCTATAACTAGAGGTGGAACGGCTAGACTTTAAGGATTTAGAAGTGAATTGGATATCCGGCGGCTAGCGAGTCCAGGCGATCTCTATCACTCGCGTGATAGGGTAAACCATAAGGTATTTATGTTTCGATGTATCTAATACTAAGCGCCGCCTCTAACCCATTAGCTGCAAAAGAGTGGCTTGCGTGAGCGTGTTCAGTTGTGGATGCCAAATAGATACATCGGCAAAAGTTTTCGTCACATCTGATGCCTTAGATATGCTGAGGCCATATCCAAATCGCGAGCACGTGGGGCACGCGGGTATCGAGAGCCGGATCTGATGCGTCAGATCCGGCTGCGTCCAGCTTAGATATTCGATGATCGACAAGAAAACAAAAAAATCGGAATTACGCGACACCTGTGTGATTCGAACACACGCTCCCGAAGGAACTGGCTATCAACTTTCCCTCTCAGGATTAGCAGGCCAGCGCGTTAACCACTCCGCCAAAGTGCCTTGAGTGATTGTTGAAGACTACAACAAAGCTGATAATATATTATGTTCAACGTAAGCTGTCTTAACCATCCAACGTTAACTTTGTGTCGATTTTTCACCAAAACCTAGGACTTTGGCTAGTCGTACAAGTTTACCGGTCACGTTGACATGCACGTACAATAGTACCGATCACGTTAACCTACACGTACAGCCACAGCCTAGAACTCCATACGCTTGCAGACCACAGGATTCGCTGCATCCGCTCCTCAGATGTCCCTACCAAGTCTAGCAATTCCTGGCCAACCGCTTGGGTCTGCCTCAAAGTACTCCCCCGGCGCTGGCACGCACGTACAGTCTTCTCAAATCCACGCGTCGATAAGCGGGCTCGTCGTTGAGACAGCAGCACCGAAATCCTCAAAGGGCTCCGCAAACACCTCCTCCGCGATCTCCAGCTTACCCACGCTTTCGATACCACGTGCCCAAAGTTCCGGAAACTCCACCTCGAACGGAGGCATAAGCGTCCTTCCCGAGGTCGATTCTGTGGTACTAGCCCGGGTGACTAGGCTCACGCCTCGCCAAGCAACTGTGGCCATCCTCGTAGTCGACAACACGGTTCTACCTCAGCCTTTCCAGGGTCTCATACGGGTGCAAGATGTGCGCGCCACAGAGAAAGATAGGGTGAAGATTGCGGAGAGCTTTCGCGTGGGGGATATTGTCAGGGGCGTTGTGATCAGTCTGGGTGACCAGTCGAGCTACTATCTGAGCACGGCAAGCAACGAATTGGGTGTTGTGATGGCAGAGAGTGAACAGGGGAATGTCATGTATCCGGTCAGTTGGAAGGAGTTTAGGGATCCGTCTAGTGGGCTGGTCGAGACGAGGAAGGTTGCGAAGCCTTTCTGAGCATAAGATGCTTGAAGAGCAGGCGTAGAAGGTAGTGAATCTCGGCTCGATTCGAGGTTGCCTGTCTTTCAAACAGCGCCTTTTTGGGATCACACGGCAGCAGAACCCGAGCTTCATCACGATGCCATTACGAAACGGCGACCTCCGAGCCAGGCTCATAGGGTAGTCAGTAATGGGCTCGGAGTGAGTAAGGGCGGCCTGCTAAGATTATCATAAACTACCAACTTTGCTATGGTCTCCAACAATCACTCAAGGCACTTTGGCGGAGTGGTTAACGCGCTGGCCTGCTAATCCCGAGAGGGAAAGTTGATAGCCAGTTCCTTCGGGAGCGTGTGTTCGCGGTAGATGGACCGTTTGTTGTTGCACAGCTGCAGCTGCAGCTGCAGCTGCAGCTGTCCAAGGGCCACTCAAAAGTTACGTTGTCGCATCCTTTATCCATAGCCCTTGGTTCAAGGGTTGTTGCTGGCAGATCTCGCTTCGCAAGCTCCACGGCGCATCCCGTCGATCGACCTCATCACGAACGCCATGACCTGTTGTGCCTCTATCTCCTGCCTCATCGCCCTCGCCCACGACCCACCACCTCCAGAGCTCCCAAAACCGCTACGGAAACCTCGAAAGCCTTCGCCTAATTCCATTCCACGTACCACTGAGCTTCAAGCCTCCTGTCGGCCGTGGCCAGCACGATACCTGCTACTGTAGGCACGAAGCTACCGCCGTAACTCCTTCTACACCGATACACACTGCGTCGCCATGTCGTCAAGAAAGAAGGTTCTCTTGAAGGTGGGCGCATATGTACGAGTGCTCACGCTGTTCGCTGAGGCTGACGGCTTGCGCATTCAGGTTATCATACTCGGTGATAGCGGGGTTGGCAAGACCAGCTTGATGAACCAATATGTACGTCGCAGGACATCTATCTCCGATACGATCAATGGTACGGGCGAGTACTACGAAGCGATAGTCCAGTAACACAGTCTCGTATAGGTCAACAAGAAGTTCAGCGCAAGCTACAAGGCCACCATCGGCGCAGACTTCTTAACAAAGGAAGTCCTAGTAGACGATCGACTGGTCACGATGCAGGTGCGGATACATAGACGCTTGAGACTGGCAATGGCTCACACCGCAACAGCTATGGGACACGGCAGGCCAGGAGCGGTTTCAGTCTCTGGGGGTCGCTTTCTACCGAGGAGCCGACTGCTGCGTGCTAGTATACGATGTCAACAACTCCAAGAGCTTCGATACCCTTGACAGCTGGCGGGACGAGTTCCTTATCCAAGCGAGCCCCATGGATCCAGAAAGTTTCCCCTTTGTACGTCGCAACTCGATCAGCTTCACAGCAAAGGTCTATGTTAATGGCTGCACAGGTCGTAATTGGCAACAAGATTGATGTGGAAGAAAGCAAGCGAATGGTACAAATGCAGTGAACCGAAGTCTTCGACAAGGGCTAATGTTGAATGCCAGATATCGACCAAGCGCGCCATGACCTTCTGCCAGTCGAAAGGGGGGATTCCTTATTTCGAGACCAGCGCGAAGGAAGCAACGAATGTTGACCAAGCCTTTGAGGGTGAGCCGACCTCACAAAACATCTCTATACAAGACTGCTAACGTTAAACCTACAGTGATTGCAAGACAGGCGCTTGCTCAGGAGGAGGCTGGCGACTTCAACTCTGACTTCCCAGAAACGATACCGATCAATCTGGAGAACGATCGTGACGGTTGCGCATGTTAAACTGCGCCCACTTGGCTGCTGTGCTCCTCGCAATGGTCTGCTATCGTTCTGGGCGACGGATGCAGGATGAACATTTTCAAAGCATATTTCTCATTGAATGGCGTTCTGCAGAGCGTTGGCTGCGTTGTTGTCTATGCCGGGCCGTTTGAAAGATCTTGGCGTTTGACAGGGGGACTTGCCATTAAATTTGTGAATAAGGTAGTTCTGACATTGAACGTACGAGGGTTAGCAGGAAAAGGCATTGCCGCATAGAAAGCTAGTCGTGAGCATCACGCTGGATAACCCGAACGCAGTTCCTAGGTCACAAACGTCTTCAGGTGTTCGATGGATGGGAGTATTACCCTGCTGAATAGCTCATGATCTCCATCGGATGGAACCGGTCTGGTTCTTCCATCCTCAAGAGGATACCAAATCCAGCTCAGTCGTGACTTCGTCTTCAGAACGATAGTGGCTACAAGGTGGCAACGAGTTCTTCGACTGGGCTTCCGGCAAGATCACGCATGCAGACGAGCATGTATAGGGAGAGGAGATATTGCCTGTTCTTGGCACGCAGGGAGCAGCAGCCTGCAGAGATGTAGGGACATGGGGTGATAAGATACGTCACCATGTTGAGGAAAACCCTAGGAAAGTGGCGAAGAAGAGGCCTATATCTCAAGAGTTGGAGGAATCTGAGTTGGAGGTGTTTCTCAAGAAGATTAATGGTGAACACGAATCATGCGAGCAGGCGATGACGGCAGGGTATTGGAAATGGATCGCACCATATCATAGGGATCCAAAGCTGCAAGGCATATCACGAGATGATGAGGCTCAGGCAACACATGGAAGGAGATCTCGCTGGATGCAAAGTTATAGCAGCGCCCTTACCATTTAGTTTTATGAACAATCTTGACATCGAACATCGTATGGAAAGGTTATGCCTTAGACAGTGCCTTTAGCAGTCACGCGAGTGACAGAAATAGCTGGACTCGTAAACCACTGGAGTGACTATTCACTTCTAAATCACTAGAATCTATTAGATTTACTATATCTTTAAAGATCTTTACTCTAGCCATCCTACCTTTAGGTATAGCTTATATATATTTATATAGTAGTATACTATGAAGGATTACGCCTATTCATAACCTCTCTAAGCTGACTAAAGACCTATCTGTTTTTCGGAGTCCGGCAGTTTTAGTCACCTAGGTGGCAGTGATATTGATCGGTGCAACGGAACGCGGACTGCTTGTGGCGCTCGTACCGCCACTAGGGAAAAGAAGTGCAGGGATCGGCGGCAAGGGGTACTTTAGCATCACAGCCGTCCCATGATGCGTTCCTAAGACCGCTGCCAATGCCCCATTCCCACCCACCAAGCATGCCCGTGGAGGAGTCCACCGGCTCGACCATGATCACACGGGCACAATCTGTCAATATAGAACGCTGGACACCCTAAAACTCACCTCCACTGCCCACCGGTCAACCCTTTCACCCCCACCGCGATGACAGACGCAAGATCGCGTGCTTCGTTCAGCACGCCTTTGACCGCGGTCACCTCCTCCACGCCGTTATCCTCGAGGATGTCGATGGCGAGCATAACGAGCGCCTGGTCTCAAGGCAAGAACACTCAGCGCTGGAGGCATGCACTAGGAATCATGCTGCTACTGGTAACGGTAGTGCTGTGGACGGCCTCGAACTTCCTCGCCAGTGTGAGTACAGCGAAATCTGTATAAAGTGAGGCGTGTCTGATCCTGATAGACCATCTTTGCCGACGACTCGTACGACAAGCCGTACTTTGTAACCTACATCAACACCGCCTTCTTCGTTATCCCTCTCATCCCTATGCTCGCCAGGCGCGGATACCAAGATCCGTCGCAGTTCACTTCGCTGCAGGACCTATGGCGGAAAAAGGCAGAGCGCTACTCCAAACTACAAGAGCACGACACGGAAGCGGAGCATGGCCTCCTGAAGCCAACCGCGCCAGCTAGAAACGCTTCCCTAACGAGCGAATCCTCCACGGCGCTACTGCCCTTGGACAGGGCCACAAGCAGCTCCCACGCTTCTGCCAGAACCCCATCGACGTCCCAGTCCGCCAAACTGACTCTCCGCGAAATCGCCAAACTCTCCATCGAGTTCTGCTTCCTCTGGTTCACCGCAAACTACTTCACCGCCGCCTGCCTGTCCTATACAACCGTCGCTTCATCCACCATCCTCACAAGTACCAGCAGCATCTGGACGCTCCTCACCGGCTCCATCATCGGCGTCGAGCGCTTCACCCTCCGAAAACTCATCGGCGTGCTCGCTTCCCTCGCCGGCATCGTGCTCATCTCCACCGTCGACATTTCCGGCGAGAGTGACGAGAATAGAGGGAGTTTTCCGCACAAGAGCCAGAAAGAGATTGCGATTGGGGATGCGTTGGCTTTTTTGAGTGCGGTGCTGTACGGGTTCTATGTGGTGTTGATGAAAAAGAGGATTGGTGACGAGTCGCGGGTGAATATGGCGCTGTTCCTGGGGCTGGTGGGGCTGTTCAATGTGCTGCTGCTCTGGCCGGGACTGGTTGTTTTGCATTACACGGGTGTTGAGACGTTTGAGCTGCCGCCTACGGGGAGGATACTTACTATCGTGCTGGTGAGCTCCGTCATGGTCCCGAAAAAGTAAAGTAACTGACGTGTTCGGACCAGGTTAATTCATTCTCCTCCCTTGTATCAGACTTCTGCTGGGCTTATGCCATGCTTCTAACCTCTCCACTCGTCGTAACGGTAGGCTTGAGCATGACGATCCCGCTCAGTCTAGTCGGACAGATGGTGCTTGATGCGCAGTATTCGAGCTTCGTGTACTGGGTCGGTGCGCTCGTTGTTGTGTTGTCGTTCATCTTCATCAACCACGAAGAAAGCCATGAAGAAGAGGGGGCGGATGTCGCGGATGACGAAGCGGATGGCTTTGGAGAGGAAGAGCTGGTCGGATCGCCGTGACGGACAGGTCTCCTGCGTTCTCGTGTAGCCTTGGTATGGGACTGAATTCACATGGTGCGGTGCATGCGGCGTCTGGAAATACCGCCGGCGTACGGCGTCGGCATTGGATTCTACTGCATCTAGATTTAGAGAGACCCTAGAGTCGCTTCACGGAGGCGGGTTGCGGTCGTGATGTACCATAGCATGTAGCGGTACACTCCCAGTAGCGTAAGCCCCCAGCTCAAGCTGAGCGGTTTTCATGCAAACACATTCTGTCCCAGGCAACAACTGTTTGTCCGGTGATACAGCAGTCGGCTCTTCTTGCATCGACAGAGGACCGCGCGCAAAGCTCAATCCTGCGCCCCACCGAGTTAGAGAGATAACAGCGCCAGAACTCCGCAAATGCAGAGCCGTCGTCACGACAACAAAAGTCCCCATCCAAGCCGCGCACTCCCTCATGCCCGACTCGCACGTCTGGCCTTCCCCGGCCGCTTCGCCGCCCCACCCTTCATCTTCCTCGCCGAGAAGTCCCGCATATCTGCGCTCGAGGTGGCATCGTTGCTCTTGGCGAAGCGCTTCTTGCCGCCGAATCCGTACTTCTCGTTCTTCTTGGCACGTTTGGGGTTCGGTTTGCCGCCTGGTCCCCTCGCTGTGGAGGATTTTCCTCCCGCCCTCCGTGCGTCCCTGTCTTTCTTCTCGGTCACGGTGGCGTCTTCGAGGGCTACGTCGAAGAGGTCGTCTTCGCGGTCGTTGGTGGGGTCGGTGTCTTTGCGTTCTGTGGAGGACGAAGTTAGTATCCGATTTAAGTGCGGGTGCTGCAGCTGTAGAGATTAAAGCGCGGGATACAGTACTTCGTTTCAAGATGTTAATCTTCTCCATCGTGTCCCTCTTCGCCTTGTCCCTCTCCTGTATCTTCGCGACCTGAACCTGCTTCCCAAACTTCTTCAGATCCCGCTGTCTCCGCGCGTCCGCCGCGGCCTTCTTGCCTGCCGCCTCGTCCACAAGCTTCTGCTTGATCTTGCCCATGTGCTCGTCGCTCTTGACCATCTCCGCAAAATAGTCCGGCGGCCGCGAGAAGGGCATGCCCTCGGCTTTGAGCAGGGATCGGGCTTCCTTGACGGCGGAGAGCGATTGCGCGTAGAACGCTAGTTCGCGGTTGAGGTCGTCCTCGATGTCGGCGATGGAGACGGGTTCGGACGTGGTGAGAGATTGGTGCTCGGAGAAGGGGAGTTTCGAGAGAGGCAAAGCGATGCGCTTGTGGGCGGCTAGCAGGGCGGAAGTATTGTTGATAGTTAGCCGCTGGTGCGGTATTAGGTCGCCTTTTTCTTCCGAGGCTACGGAGTCAAGGTCTGAGTATGCGATGTCTTCGTCTTCGGCATCCGCAGCCCCATCTGCGGGCTCGTCGTTGTCGTCGTCGGAGCTGGAAAGGTCGCTGTCGTCGATGTTGGCTAGCTTGGATGCATCCAGATGAGTGCCTCCGTCGTCTTCATCCTCCGAGTCTGCTTCTAGCTCCTCTTCTGTGTGCCATTCCCCATCTTGCTCGCCATTGCCGGATACTATTGTCCCGTCCACGACACCGATCTCGATCTCGTCATCCGGAACGCCCTCTTGCGCTACCTTCTGGTCGCCAACACCACCCTCCTCCTCTTCCCCATCATCCACCTCCTTCGGCACAGCCTTTTTCGCGCGCTTCTCCTCTGCCTTCCTCTGCTGCTTCCTCTGCTGCTTCTTCTCCTTGTCCGCCTTTTTGTCAATCCCCTTCAGTCGCTCGAACGCAGCGAGAGTTGCGCCTTTCCGAGCCATTTTTTATCTTCCTTTTGCTTTGTCGTTCGTGGGGATATAGCTGACTATCAAGCTTCGTCCACCGCTGCTGTTTTCCCGCTCCATCTCGAAAAAAGATTCAAGCTCTCCGATATCTTGGCACGCTAAGCCCTCACCGCCTTACCAGGATCAGCTCCAAACTCACCACCACGCCAAGCCCCCCGAAGCTCCATCGCACACCCACATCCGGCTTCAGATGTCCGCCCGGCCGCTGTTCAGATCAATCATGAGCAGCCCCAAAGTCGTCGAGGGCGTCTTCGGTAACTCTCTCCAACTACCCAAATCATACGTCCAACTAACAACCCCCAAGCGATCAACAAACCCACCGGCATAACCTCCGCCCAAGTCCTGCGCGACCTCCAATCGCACTTCACGCCCTCCTCCCTCTTCGCTCCCTGGCTCAGCACCGAAGCCACACGCCTCGCCGGCGAGCACGACAAATCGAACCGGCACAATGGGCGGCACGGCCGCAACAAGCGGCTCCAGCGCGGGCTCAAGGTCAAGATCGGGCACGGAGGCACCCTCGACCCGCTCGCTACCGGCGTGCTGATCTGCGGCGTGGGGCGCGGCACCAAGACTCTGGGCGGGTTCCTGGAGTGCACCAAGAGCTACGAGTGCGTGCTGCTGTTCGGCGCGGCGACGGATAGCTATGATTCCGAGGGGAAGGTTGTTGCGCGGGCGCCGTGGGGGCATGTCACTAGGCAAGCAGTAGAAGAGAGGTTGGGGACGTTCAGGGGACGGATCATGCAGAGGCCGCCGGTGTTCTCGGCGCTGAGGGTGCAGGGAAAGAGACTGTACGAGTATGCGAGGGAGGGCAAGGAGATTCCGGTGGAGGTGCAGGCGCGGCCGGTTGAGGTGAAGGAGCTGGAGCTGATGGAGTGGATGGAGGGGGGGAGCCATGGGTATAGGACTCCGGAGAGGGAGGTGGAGGGCGAGGAGAAGGCGATTGCGGAGAAGCTGCTTAAGCAGGCGGGTGGGCTTCCAGACGGCGGCGCCATGCGCGAGCAAGCAGAAACTAAGGAGGAGGAGAAAGACGGCGAAGCAGCCAGCGCACCAGAACCACAGAGCCTAAAACGGAAAGCCGACCCCCTAGACGACCTCATCGCCTCCCCACCACCCTCATCCAAAAAGTCGAAAACCTCGTCAGAGCCGGAACCGGTCATGTCCGGCGCTCTCCCCACCTCCCCAGACCCGGTTCCCACCTCAGAACCAGCAGCCTCAGAATCCCAGCCTCCCTCAGAGCCGCCACAGAGCTCCCAACCGCCCGCCATCCGCCTCCGCATGACCGTCTCCTCGGGCTTCTACGTCCGCTCCCTCTGCCACGACCTAGCCATCTCGCTCGGTTCTCTCGCGCAAATGGTGGCATTAGTCCGAACGCGACAGGGCGGCTTCGAGCTCGGGAAGAACGTGCTTGAGTATGGCGATTTGGCGAAGGGGGAGGATGTTTGGGGGCCGAAGGTGGAAGGGATGCTTGAGACGTGGATGGAGAAGGAGGCGGGAAGGAGTGAGGACGGCTCGAGGAATGAGCCTGAGCAGGTACGGCCAGCTGAGGAGGAGGCTGAGAAAAAGAAGCCGCCGAGAGCGAGGTGGAATGGACATGCTAGGAGGGGGAACTCGAGTAGCGTGGAGCCGGAGCCTGCGGTGGAGAGGAGGAGGAGAAATTCGAGTAGTCCCGAGACATAACAAGACACAATGAAATCAAGTTTGCTGCTCAGCTCGAGCGCATGCGTGACGGCACGAGCGGTACTCATATCTCGATTCGTGACGCTAATGGAAAGTTTATGCTGCTGGCAATGCCCGTGGGACCGACTTTGTGGTAAGCGTTGTACCCGATCACCACCTCAATGGACCTCAACCGTGGCATACTCTCATTGCTAGGCCAAGCAGCGCATCACCAAACGCCGTCAGATCGTGGTATCATTCGCTCCCGGCCGCCGGCTCACTTGAAACGCCTCAAACAACCAAACCACAGACACGAACAACAAGAACGACAAGGGATGCGGAGCCAGACGTAGAAGCCTCAATACCGCCGCTGTATCGCAGTCGGAAACTTCAGCCCCGTCGACACCAACGAAGGTAACACACCCTGCTGCGCCTCCGCCATTTCCCGAATCCGTCTGATGAGGTTGCTGCTGTTCGTTAGCTCCTCCGTCCACTCCTCAACCCCCCACTGCATTCTTCAGACAACTCACCTGACTGGCAACCCCACCCCAACCCCCTCCCTCCTAACAAGCTCGACCCTCTCCTGACTCCTTGCATGCTCTCGGTAGTGCAGCTTGATGAGCTCCTGGCTGTCGTCCTCGCTCGCGCCGTAGACTTTGTGCATGCAGCCGTCGAGGCTGCAGATCCAGGTATCGCCCTGGCCCTTCAGGTTCGCGGTCGTGCTCGGCAGCGGCGCGGAGATGATGAGCGGGATGAATGGCATGGGCGAGGCGCGAGGCGTTGCGTCGGGGGATGGGGGAGGAGATTTCCAGCGTAGGGGGAGGGACTTAGATGTCACGGTCGCGACAGCGGGCGCTTTCTTGCCGCCCGCATCATCGTCGGAGGAGGAATCAAGAACACGCGCATTCAATATGTTCACCTCGCTCGCCGCGCGTTTCCGCGCCCTCCCGTGCGCCTCGTCCACGCTCTTCCGCTTCGTGGGCGACGCGAGCGCCACCGTATCCGAATCATCCGAATCTCCGACTTGCGGCTGGGCATTGCGGCCAGCGTGGCGCGTGCCTCTACGGGCGGCGGCTTTGGCGGCCGCTTTGCCGGGCACCTTGCTGCCGCGGGGACGTAGGACGGAGCGACTTGGGCCGCGGCGGCGGGCGCGGTGGTTCTCGGAGTCGGAGGAGATGGAGACGCTGGAGTGTTGTGGCGGTGGGGCTTCGCGTTTGCGCTGCCTGAGCTCGATGTGCGAGGTTTGGTCGAGTTGTTTTGGTGAAACGCGGGTGGTGGAGAGTTCGTGGAAGACGTAGGTCGAGGTCCAGTCGAGGTGGGGGCGGCGCTTGTGGGCCATCATGTAGAGGAGGTTTGGGGCGTGTGCGCGGATATAGATCATCGCGAGGTGGGGGTCGTCGATCGTGTATTTGCGGGTTAGGACGGACGCGAGGTTTAGGGTGGTGAGGTCGTCGTTCGAGATGAGACCTCGGGATGAGGCCTTTTGGAGGAGCTCCCAGATGACTCTCGCTTCCCACCAGTTGGCATCCTTTTTTGGTGCTGTGGACGGGGTTGAAATCTTGGGCGCGACGGGGGTGATATCCATCTTGTCCTCGAGCGTGAGACGTGGGGGTTGTTGTTCGACTGGCGGGCTTGGATACTTGCGCGGTCGCCCTCTCGGCCTCTTTGGTGGCTGCTCTGGAGGAGGTTTTGCTTGAGGGAGATTGCGTGACTCCTCCCGCTCACGTGAATTGCTTCGGTTCAAACGCGGCCTTCCTCTCGCTTTCGCTTGCGTCGGTTTTTTCTGCTCCGCGGAAGCTCTCTCTTCAAGTCTCTGACGCATGGCCGCAAACACGTCTGGGAATCGCTGTCTAAGATGATGATAGAAGGACGTGGCGCCCCACGTCACATTCTCCTTCTTCGCGAGCATCATCCAGACGAGGAACTCCCGATGCTTGTTGTAGAGCTCTGCCGCCGCTTCCGGGGTTGGGCACCGACGCGCATGGCTTCGTGCATACTACCAAAGATCAGCGTGAGACTCAGGTAAGTGTAAGGCTACGTACCTCTTCGAATATGTCTTTGGAAGTTTGGCGATGGTAGTCAACCAAGAAGTACATGACCTCGACCGCCTCGACCATGTCTTGATATATTCCCCTGTACGGCCTCGCAGGCTTTCCCAGTATGAACCAGCCGGCTTCGCCTCGTGCGTATAGGGCTACCGACTTGTCGCTGTACTCTGCATAGGAGAAGCGCGTCACATTGGTCACCTTGATTGTTGCATTTGCGTGTGAGGAGTTTCGAACTGCAGCACAAGCGCCCGTGTTAGCAGGCGAACTTCGGGAGGCTATGATGTAGATGTAGGATGCACTCCTCTCCTCTGGAGAAGACTCACGCAAATGCGCCTGCTCCTCCTCGACATCCTGCAATCGCCCTACCACTGTAAGGGGCCTGTCCCAATCCGCCCGCAACAGAGACACCAGCTCCCCATCGGCATTGTACACCTCAACGTTGCCCAGCTCTATTTGCGCCCAGTCGTTCTCGTCGACAGAGGTGTCTTGCGGTATCAGAACCTCGCTTTCATGTATGGGCGTCGGCATTGTCGCGGTCGTTTTCCGGAGGAACTCTTGATCGCATGATATGTGGCGCCTTCAAGGGGATGGTAGCAACGATGTATACGTTGACGTTTGAGGAGAAGTGCATGTCAAGAGCTGCTTAGGTAGGAGTAAAGCGAACCCCACGCGCGACCCCGGTGGAGGCGCGTCGGCGAGGCTCGACCGCGGTACGGAGTAGTGTACCGTACGGCTGACGATGCCCGCGGAGGAGCAGGGGGGGGGCGTGGAGGTGACCGGGGACTTGATACTTAGAGTGCAGGACAACAACAATTCAAACACAAACCTCGCAGTCCCCACACTACGACAAGCATCACAGTCAATCCGTCACCTGCGCTCTCCAGAATACAATCCTCTACAATATCCCCAGCCCAAACCCCACCCGCCCACCACAATGTCCAAACCCCCCTCCACGACCTCCACCGACCCCCCCGACACCTCAAGCGTACGCCCTGCCGCCTCCCCACCCCCTCCCTCGTTCTCCAATAACCCCTACTGACGCCCATCCCACAGGCCCCCTCCGACAAAGCCTCCGAGCTGACCGCCGTAGTCGACGACCTCCTGAACCAGCTCTCCACCAACTTCTCCACCATCTCGTCGGAGCTTATGAGCAAGAGTACGTGTGCTGCGGCCCTCAGAAGAACACTAGAATTGCGGGGGGGAGGATACTGGAAGTAGGGTGAAGGGACGAGGAAGGGGCTGCGTTGGACTGCGCGGGGACTGCGTTGGCTGACGTGCCGGTGTAGTGGACGACATGAGCCGGCGGCTTGATAATCTGGAAGCGACGATTCAGGCGGGGGGGTCGACGCGGGGGGATGGAGACTCCAGCTCACTGAAGCCATAGTTTGGGACTTCCAAACCGCTACGTCGATATCGCTATCCGGGATTACGATGGTGGGACATTTGGTTGCCAAGAAGCGTACTCAATGTGCACACGAGAGAGGGGGCGAAAGGATGGCGCTTGGTTGTGGCCGTCACTACGGCGGAGAAGGCATATTCAGGCGTTGGGCGTGTACGACATTGGTTTCATGAAAGCAGGCACAGGAAAGCCGTCAGTGGCGGCTGCGCTCAAAGGAAGCATGGTTAGGAAGCATGGTTGGAAAGCATCATGAATAGACCAGGCGCAGAGCGAAGTGCCATTGATGCTACGACTAAATCAGAGAGTGTCTATGCTATGAGAATGAAGATGCAACATCCAAGCACGCCAAAGAGCCACCAGACCATGACACACACCAGCGCCGACAGCTCGAGGACGCCAGGAAACCCCAACAGCATCCCCTACAGACTCAAGTCAGGCGACCTCAGTTGACCGTCTGCGTGTAAGCTTCGGGTGGCATCCTTCCAAAGACCAACGTCTCCGTTTGGAGTTGCCCGTGGTCGCAGTAGACATGTCTGTAGGTGGTAGGCTCGGGTCCCACAGACGTCAGCTCCAGAGTGATCGGAGCTTCCTCGAGACCGAGACGACATTTGGCAGCTGCTATCCTGGCGACGCACACCGTGTCAGCAAAGTAGAAACGACATGCTAAGATCATAGTTCCTCTTTGCCGGCATCCGTGCTCCTAAACTGCCGCAGTATATTGCTGCGCTTCGTCAAATCGTCCAACTTCGCAGGGGCAAGGGAGCCCTTGCTCAGCAGGCCTTCAAGCCGCTTAAGCTCCTTCTCGACATAGTCCGCATTGGCATGGAGCTTCTGCGCGACTTTGCCGTAGTACTCCACATACACATCTTTGCCCATCTCCTTCATCGCCTTGTACCCCCGCTTGAGAATCTCCGGATCCGGTTTAACCAGGTACTGCTTGACGAGCTCGTCCAGCTCGGGGATAAGGCCAGCGGTACTGTCAAGACCACCTCCTACCGCGCGGTGCGTGCCGGCTTTCTCGTTCATGAAGCTGACGAGGTCTTTCTCGGTGCGCCCGCCGTTGTAAGCCTCTGGTGTGGTTGAGCCCTTGGGGAAGTACTTGATCGTCGGGTAGGACTTGATTCCTTGTTCCTCGGCAATGGCGCGGGCATTGGGTGCTTCGGCGTCGACCTTCGCAATCAGGACGGTGGGTTCGGAGGCGAAGTCACGGGCGAGGGTTTCCCATGTCGGGGCGAGGGTCTTGCAGTCTGGAGTAATCATAGTAGTTAGCAAGGCTGCTACAATGAACGTGGGGTAAGAAGGCGGGGGTAGGAGGAAAAGTACTCACGTCCACACCATGGAGCGGTAAAGGCAACCAAGACGTCCTTGTCCTTGCCAATCTCCTGCTTGAATGACGAGTCCGTGAGCATAACCACCTCAGAAGGCACGCCCTTCTTGGTCTTAGGCTTGACGCCCGTCTTGTCGGTAACGAAAGCGGATAGACTATCGAGGTCCCTGCCACTGCTATAGTCGCTCGGGGTGTCGCTCTTGCCGTCGAACCATTTGAGGGTCGGAAAGCCCTGGACGCCGAACCTGCGGCCGAGCTCCTTGTGGTCATCGGCATCGACTTTGGCAATGGTGACCTTGTCTTTGACGGACTCGAAATTCTGGGCCAGCTCCTCGTATACGGGGGCGAGTGTCTTGCAGTGGCCGCACCAGGGAGCGAAGAACTCGACGAGGGCCGGCTTGCCGGACTTGAGGACGATCGAGTCGAAGTTGTCCGGGGTGAGGTCTATGACAGCGGATGCTGCATTGGCGCCGAGGACGGCCAGTGAGGATAGCAGTAAATAACTGAGACGAGCCATGGTGGGTAGGCGCTGTGGACTTTGAGCGTACTGAAGCGTGCTGGTGCTCAATCAGCGGAGTTAAAGATGAAAGTGATGCTGGGTGAGGAAAACGGACTCTGAGAGGGTCGGCAGAAGTATATATAGTAACTGGGCAAGCTGCGTGACTGCACTGTTCAGCTTGCCGAGTGAGGAAGGCTCGGGGGTTTCTCACACATCGCCGCAGCGCCAAGCCAGCAGGAATGGCCACGCAGCCTCAACTCATGGAAGCACAAAGCCATGCTTACCAAGTCCATCTCCACTGTGGCAAGCAGTATGCATGTCAACATGTCAACATGTCAATATGGAGCATGAGGGTCCACAACCCTGATTGGGTCCTAGGACATCCAATCTATAGGAATCCTAAGTAGAAGCACGTCCCTTTCGGCGATTTGTACAAGCAAAGATTCGTGTTCGACAGTCGCTATCAACGACCTTTTGGCCCTACCTAGGTAACCCCAGGTGACTGTCCGTTCAATGCCTTACTCCTAACAAGCCTGTACTCTCAACAACCAAGAAGCAGCCCGTTTTTTTACCCAATCCAAGCCTGATCATAGACCAACCCCAACGTACGCCGATGCACCTTCCGAAACCAAACGATGGATCCCTCCGTAAACCTATGCCGCAGTCCCACAACTCCTGCAAACGAGCGCATGCCCGTCTCCCTTCAGGACCTTCGCCTTGAAGGTCGTCCCAGCACACTTCCTACACTTTACCTCTTGATCTGCTTCGCCGACCGCCCCTTCCTTGTTGTCGCTCAGCTCGCTATCCTCATCGCTCAACGTACTGACATAGCTAGCCTTCTTGCTCATCGCAGGCGGCAGTTCCAGTTGCGATTTCTTGCCGCTGAACATCTCTTTCCACGCGTTCTGGTTCCAGAACATGTTCGATTGGCCGCCAACGGCCCACAGCGGGTTGTCCTGCGAGGACGGCATTGCTGGAGGTTCCTCTTTCGTGGGTGATGCAGCTGCGGACGTCTGTTGACTCAACGAGCTCTTCTTCCGGCTCTTCGGCGGCGATGATGCACCGGTGTGGAGCTGAGGACCATCCGTGGTTGAAGGAGAAGCTAGCGCTGGCGAGGAGTCGTAGCGCAGGCCAAAGGAGGATCCTCTTGAAAGCTGGCCAGCGGACTTCCTTGGCGAGATGCTGCGGTTGCCTCTGGTATTGTTTTGGAGTGAACCATTGTCAAGGCTGGTAGTGCTAGCGATGCCTTGTCGCCAAGAAAGGATGCGGTCACCAGGTGGCTGAGTGGTGATGCTGTTACTGCGAGAACGGTCGCTACCACGAGTGGTGGTTGAGGTGGTGCGGCCAACCATTCCTGAAGCCATCCTCTTTGAAAAGACGGACGATGCGTCCCAGCTTTCATTACGCCGTTTCTTCCAAGCACAATCCTGTCGGAACACCTTGACGCAGCCGCTAGAGTCCGCTGTCACGATGATTTGACCGTCAGGGTGGGCTGATCGAGCAAGATAGGCTGGTGACTCTTCCGCTCTCTTGAAAGTGGTCTCCGCAGGAGTTGGCGTAGCTTGTATACTGCCGGTCTCTGTGGCCGCCTTGGACGAACGGAACGACTCAGTTCGGCTTATCAGTGTTACAGGAGGGGGGTTGCACAGGTCATATAGCGGATCCTCGGAGCTACTTAAGAGCTGACGTGTTTTCGTCGGCGCCAGAACCGCGACCGTCGTCATCGATGCGTGAGCTCCGAACACCTCTACTGGACGTTGGTTCCTGTTTTCTCCTTCGACTGGGCCGTTGGACCATATATAGACTCTACGGTCCTCACTTCCGCAGATAACGTAGCGCGCATCATCGCTGAACGAGGCTCTGATCTGAGTATGGTCGTCCTCATGTCCCTTGTATTTGACTTCCAGGCTTTTGTCGCGGAAATTGTATCGACGAACGCGGGAGTCATTGCTCGAGATTAGCAGCTTGGTCTCCCCTCCGTGGTTGTCTGGTGGGAAATTGACAGCTTGGATGCCTGTGATCTTACTGCCTTTAGCATTCTTTCCATGAGCTGACCGGACGTGGATTTGCGTCTGGTATTTGAGGCCCTCGGTTTCGTAGAAGTGGCACAGTCCGTTCAGAGTGCCAGCTATCGCGGTCTTGCCATCTGGGGTGAAAGCTACGGCGGTGATCATGTCTGGCAGTTGAGTCCAGAACGCTACACCTTTATCCGGAATACTCCACAGTCGCAGCTTCGAGTCTAGAGATCCGGCCAGGAAGAAGCGATCGTCACGGGGATGAAATCGGATAGATGGTACGAAGTCGCTGCGGTAAAGTTAGTATCGCCACGAATATATTTAGTGCGATTTGCTGACCTGTGTTTGAACGTGCACAGGCATTCGGCTCGGCTGACGTGCCATAGTCTTATCGTTTTATCCATCGAGGAAGAGAGCAAAAAGTTGTTCTGCAGTGGTTAGCTATGCTCAGATCGGATGGATAGCAGTACTCACTTTACTCCAGCTCAGATCTAAGATAGCTGACGTGTGCTCCTCGTACTCCCGGACCGGCTTAGTTCGAAACACTGGTGCATTCAGGTGATGTGCGCCCTCCTGCGCATGACCATTGGCTGCCTCTTCCTCCATTTCATGAGTTCTCCTGTCTTCTGGACTTGACAACACAGCCCAAACGCGTACGACCTTATCACCCCCGCCGGCTGCGAGGTACTTCCCATCCTGACTGAACTCCATGGCCCAGATAGAGAGTTTGTCAGAAGGAGCATTGGCTTTGGCTTGCGGAAGTGAACCACTGGAAGCCCTCTTGCCGCCGCTAGAAGTAGGTCTTCGCAGTTCTTGCGCTAGGAAAACGCGATCAAACTCCTTTTCCTTCTTGAAGCGTGACCTGACTTTGATATATGCTGGAGGTTGTGGGTGCTTGGGGCTGAATTCGATGTTGTCTATGGGTTGCGAGAATAATTGGGCGTCCACGCCTTCAGGTCTGGAGTCGCCCGCCTCAGATGCATTGTCGTTGCTGCCTTCCACGCTGCCTTTCTTCTTGTTGGGGATAAAGCGGCTCAGGAACGACACACCCTTCCTGCATAAAATACTCTTGTTAGCCTTATCAGCTCAGCCACCCCGTTTATACACAAAACTTATATACTTGGTGCTAACTCCTGATGTGTTCGAATCGCAGCGTACGGTGCCTCTTTTCCTATCCACGTAGACATAAACGAGAAATCAGGCTTACTTCTTGTCCTTGGGTATGGCGCTTCCGCCGTCCCCACCGCGCCCGGTGTCATTCGGATTCCTCGGGTCTGTCGAGGAATCGGCTGTCTGGCCGGGCACATGGCCTGTGGCAGCTTCGGGTTGCTGTGGTCGAGTTCTTTGAGGGATTATGGGCTGCGTATGTGTGCGCTTGAAGATTTGCTGTAGTCGAGCAACCGTAAGCTTCGACAGAATGTTTGCATCCGACGACGGCCGGGTCGCACCTCAGATAAAGGGTCTATCGCGGCCTCGGATCCGTTCATGTCTGCTGGAGGGCTGTTGGGTGCGGCTTGACTTGTCCCGCGCGTAGACGGAGGGTTGGATGGTGGTTGTGAGTTTGCTGGCGACGTTCGACCGCTCGACATCGGTCTGCCTGCAAGTTGTGTGAGCATGCGAAGCCAATGTAGCGCGCTTCCGCGCCTCCCCGTCTTTCTGCGGTGTGACGTACCGTCTCCAGCCCGCGAGAGCGGTCTAATTGCCTTCCCATTGCGACTGCTGTTGTCCTTTGCTGGTGACTGTGCAGGCGAGGCAGATGTCGGCACGGAATCCTTATTGTGGGGGTCGGTCAAGCGAATCTTAGGGAGGACTTCTGCCATTGTGTGGGCAGCTCATCAGTTGCTTATTTGCTGGTTGCGGTGGTAAACAGTGACCGGGCGTTTGCGCTTTAGGATGCGTTATAATATGTGATTGTGACGCGGTGAGGGGGAATGGAGTATGTTTAACTGTAGCAAACGAGTGTACCTCAGCCAAAGAATGTTAACAGGTAGGTTGCAGTTTGAAGAGATGTAGAGCATGAATGCGGCTCGAGTGGTTAAGGTATCGGAGCGATTGCTTAGCGCGATCTCTTAATTAAGCTTTTGCGTCCTTTCGAGCCGCGGGGATGCCCTTACGTCATCACAGCGTGCCTGACCGGACATCGAACCAACTCTCGGATTTTCACCAACATGCGCAACGCAAACTGCCCACGGATGTTTGATGGGGTTGCTGCATCAAGTCGCGAGCATCTGCACGGCGTGCAGGGAATGGAAGAAAGTCTTGGTTGTGATCTTGTTTCATAGCGTTATCCTAACGAGACATTACTCCATCAATGCTACCCATGCCTGTAAAGCAATCCCTAACGCCCCATGTAAAGAATGGTGGCGAAGAAACGACGGGATGTTGCGCGCACCCGGCGTCAAAGCATAGTAAAGCAATCCCCAAACCGCTATGCAACTCTGGTATACCAACGTGAAGTAGACAACTTGCAAAACATCATCTAAAAGTCCTCATCGAAAGCGAAGTCACCAGACACTGTTGCCGCCGGCGCCGGCGAGCTGCCTTCTGTCTTGTCATTCTTCTTTGTGCTGGCCATGACGCCCGCCTTCTGGTAATCGCCAACACGCTTCTCGAAGAAGTTAGTCTTTCCTGCCAGAGAGATGTTCTCCATGAAGTCGAAGGGGTTCGTCGCGTGGTAGTGCTTGGTGTTGCCAAGGGCAAGCAGTAGACGATCGGCCACGAATTCGATGTATTGGCACATCAAGTCTGAGTTCATACCGAGCAGCTTGCAAGGTAGAGCGTCAGTAAGGAACTCCTGCTCGATGGTAACGGCTTCGGTGATAATAGCAGTGACGGCTTGTTTGCTCGGCGGCGACTTGATGTGAGAGAAAAGGAGGCAGGCGAAGTCGGTGTGCATGCCCTCATCACGCGAGATGAGCTCATTGGAGAAGGTCAGGCCGGGCATGAGGCCACGCTTCTTCAGCCAGAATATCGACGCGAATGAACCGCTGAAGAAGATACCCTCTACAGCAGCGAAGGCAACGAGGCGGGACGCGAAGGTGGAGTTTTTGTCCGATATCCATCGAAGAGCCCAGTCGGCTTTCTTGCGGATGGCCGGGACTGGATCATGTTAGTGCGTTCCACGTGTGTATAGCATAGAGAGAACTTACTGTTATCGATCGCATTGAAGAGATACTTCCGTTGCTTTGGCTCGCTGATGTATGTGTCGATCAAGAGAGAGTATGTCTCGGAGTGAATGTTCTCCATCATGATCTGGAAGCCATAGAAGCAGCGTGCTTCGGGTACCTGGACCTCCCCACTGAAGCGCTCCACCAAATTTTCGTTGACGATACCATCTGAAGCGGCGAAGAACGCGAGTACGTGAGAGATGAAAAAGCGCTCATCGTCGTTGAGGCGTTTATTCCAGTCGTGCAGGTCCTTTGATAGGTCGATCTCTTCGGCGGTCCAGAAGGAGGCTTCGGCCTTCTTGTACATGTGCCATATCTGTGGGTGGTGACGTTAGCCTGAGGCAAGCACTTTACGCGTTAAGCGACGCGTTAAGCAAAACTATCGCCAAGCGTGATGACGAGACAGACATAGCTTACCTCGTGGTACTTGATAGGGAAGAGCACGAAACGCTGAGCGTTCTCCTGCAACAATGGCTCTATGGCTTCCTCTGGTTTGTCCGTGGCGGCAACTGTAGGCTCTTGCTCCTCCTCATCTTCGAAGTCGTCTAGATCCGGGATGCCGACGATGGGCACGGCGACCTCGACGTTCTCTTTGTTCTCCAATGTGAAGTCGAGCTTCTTCGCAGGTGAGTCTCCCATCTTGAGGCTCTCAATTGCAGCCGCAGCCTGGGTTGCTTGTTAGTCGATGCGCGTTGCCAAGTTAAGACTCGACCGGCGGTAGCGACGGTACCTTTTTGGAGGGAGTAATCTGCAGGGACATGTCTGCAGTGGTGTTCATGATTGATGTCGAGGTTTTATGACAGGAGGATGTATGTTGCAGAAGTGATAGTGGATGTCGGTAGTTGTTGGATGCTGGACAAAGAGGTGGACAGGCAGCGGACTTTAAAGTAGAGATGGACGCGCCGACGCGAGATCACTAGCGCGATTTTCTCATGACGTCCCGCGGCTCCCAGCCATCAACACCCGCTCAGACCTCCGCGACGACCGCGTAGATGTCCGTTCAGAGAACTATTCAGCGAAGTTAACCTTGAATCAACTAGCACCGTGGTGACCTGGAAACCAGCCACTTAACTCGTGTAATCCGCAGGCTTGCAGGGCTGCTGCTATGCCCGCTCGTCGCATGCAACCCATACACCTACTTTGCATTGTATCTAAGATGGGCATTTAGAGTTTAGATAGTTCATCCCAAGGTTGGCATCTTACCAAAGTATGGCACACGTAGGGACAAGAGTGTCAACGGCAAAATCTTAGCTGGACGAGTAGTAATACGATGCTTCAACCGCGTGACAATGGCAGCCGCGATGTTTGGTCAAAAGCCAAACTACGCACTATTACCTCTACAACCATGAGCTCAACAAAACTGCGTAAGTTGGTGACGGGACGATCTTGAAAGGAGGGCTCGATCGATCAATGGTAGTTGAGATACTCACTTCGATTGGACTCTTCGTTCTTTGGTATACTTCTCGAATGTCAAGTACTGTATCATTCAGGTTATGAAGATCCATGAGCTAGGAGGATGTAAACAGCTTCTGGAATCTGTCTATACAAGTCCGTGCAGTGTTATCGACCAGCGTTTCCCTACCAGACAATCACCGGCTTGACCGTTCCTCCTGTATGCATCTCATGTATCGCCTTCTCAAACTCTTCCGCCTTGAAGAATTTCACAATCCGATCTACCGGAAACTTGCCCTCCCGGTACCACCTAATCATCTCCGGGACATAATTCGAAGGCACGACATCACCCTCAATAACCCCTATATACTGTTTACCGGTGACCATGAACATTATTGGCGGTATTTCTAACTTCCCGTCCATGGGCGCAACCCCAATCTGCAGTATCTTGCCTCTGGGCCGGGTAAAGTCGATGCTTTTCTGGATGAGCGGAAGGAACCCTGTGGTGTCTACCGTGATGCTGCTTCCCAATCCCTCAGTGAGCCCTGTTACTGCCGGCACAACCTCATCAAGCGATGACATGGTGGCGGTGTTGATGACATGTGTTGCACCCAGCTGCTTCGCAAGCTCGAGGCGCGACTCCACGCGATCAATGGCAATGATGGTCCGGCAGCCGCGCATCTTTGCGGCCATGATTGCGCTCATACCGACGCCGCCGGCACCGATGATTGCAACCGTATCCTCCGGTGCCGCTGCCGCGATGTTGACAATGCTCCCGCTGCCGGTCTGGATACCGCAGCCCAGGGGGGCGAACATCTTCAGTTCTTCGTCGTTCAGTAGGCCTTTTACGTTGACTACGGATCTCTCGCTGACTATTGACATGCTTGCGAAGCTGGACTGGCCGAAGAAGCAGCCAGAGATTTGAGGCTCAGCGTCCGTGTCGGAGGACGCAAGTGAGAAGTCCTTGTCTTTCCTACCGAAGACATTGATCTCGTGGAACTGAATGCAATGAGCCGGGTGGCCAGAAGTGCAGAGTGCACATGTGGCACAGAATGCGAACGACAGTAGTACAGGATCTCCTGGTTGGGCGACGGTGACCTTCGATCCTATCTGCTGAACGTAGCCGGCACCTGCAATCTGGTTAGCTCATGTCTGCCGCCATCTAAGACTACGCTGAGCGTGCGGCCTTCACCTTCGTGCCCCTTGATACTCGGATAAAATACGCCGAACCCTTCATCCGCATCCCCAACGACTAGATCTGTGTGGCAGATGCCGCTGGCTACGATCTTGACGACCAACTCGTTGTCCTTGATCGGCCTCAATCGCACGTCCTCGATCTTCCATTTGCCGTCTTTTGCGGGGCCGTGGCAGACGATTGCTCTGCCCGTCACGGGTTCGGCAGACGCTGTCTCTGCCATCGCGGTGCTGAGATACTACCTGGGTAGCAGCTTTGGGGAAGCGGAGACGAAATCCGTAGAAGGGGGTTGTTGTCAAGTGTCAGCTGAAGCAAGAGGGCAGACACATCTGTAGACATAGCCCCCAAGAGCATTGACCGCACCCAGTCGCATGAACAGCTCATGCACCTCGGGTCAGCCTACAGATTTGTTAAAGGCCAAGGAACGAGATACTCGTGCTCAGTGCTGCCGAAGACTAGTCTCGTTGACCAACCAGCTGATGAGGCAGACTGGCTACGAAAAGTGGTGGTGGGGTATCTCGGCTCAAAGCCATCTTCAATGCTGATTCGAGCATTTCATGATGCTCATACGAAGTATGCAGCCGTAAGGCAGGTGGAGCTTCTCAATTTGCTATCTTGCTGCCTACAGTTCAAAGCAAAGGTCGTAAGAGGTAAACTTGACCATTCCAGATTCCTTGCACGTGACGTTCGAAAGGCATCGGTCTTAAGCCTCCGGGAACAAGCTGAAGCATAACAACAACATCAGATCTGGCCCCCACACACGCTATCCCGCCTTGCCCACTCGTCCAGTACGTCAACCCATGTCCTTCTACTATTGACGCGTGACGAGGTAGAACCTTCTGCTGACGTGGGATAAGGCATCTCAGCCAGTATTCTGTCCAATCCATTCCTCAACGCAAGATAAGCGCAGCTAACACAGAGTGCGCCGGATCCAACAAAGACAGGGAGTTCGAACGGCATCGCCAGCACTCGTGCGTAGTGGAGCCCATCAGCGTCGGCCTCGATGTCCACGCACAGTCGGGTATGATGGAAGAGATCGATCTCACCACGACGCTCGAAGTAGAGAAAGATGTTGGCTAAGGCCGTTAGTCGCTTGATGGAGGAGTGTTGAAGAGAGTTCATGGACGTACTGAGAACATGACAAAGGTCATCCTCCTGATGCTTCTCCGTGCATCTTACCCATGTACTGACGTCGCGTCTGTAGACCATGTGGAATCTTGCGGTACCGTACTGGCAAGATCTCAGGGGTAGGGACGAATGGCGCGCGGACATGATACGTCTGCCCTTTTGCAAAGCTGTTGTAATCCAGGCTAAGACCCCTCGGTTGCCGGCGGAACTGCAGGCTTCGAAACTCTTCAACGCCATGGTAGAGGAGGCGGACGTTGTTCTCGATAGGCTTTGCATCTTGGTGTATTGCTGGAGACATAGTTGCGTGACATGCTGAAGGGTTTATAAGCTGAACAGAGCAACAGCCCGAAACTTTGCGAAGCTTGAAGATTTTAGAAGCGCAGCTCATGAATGGTGATGATCGTATTGGCGGTTTGTATGTCATCCGGCGGTCCAGATGAGACAGTCGAGCTCCTTTGATATAATACCAAAAGGTGTGTACACCTAAGATTCAAAGACCGCTGGGAAGTGAAACTTCAAAGGGCTGCATTGTCCATGCAGGCGCACTGCCTAACTTCGTAGACTCATGCTGCCAAGAGGCTGGGATGTTGAGCTGGAGAGCGGAGATTGTAATCGTAATCCAAGGTCGTCGCAGACAGTTTGTAAAGACGTACTTTGAATACATGACTTCGACTTTTGCCGAGAGGGCTAATTCGAGATCCACTCTTTAAGTCCGAAACCGCGCGAGTGCGCTGCCCCGACATCAACAAATACATATAGGGGAGCGGCTGTACCCCTTATGGCTTGATCCGGAGGCCGTTAATGCTTCCTCAGTACACTTTTGCCTGTTTGACCCTTCAGAAGGCTTTGAAGCCGTTCCACCATAGGTAGCCTAACACGGCGATGACGCTCGCTAAAGCGTACGGCAGCTGCATCTCAATGACGCTCCAAACCCACAAAGTCCCAACCGGGGGAGCTCTCTTCATAACGGCAAAGTATCCACGCGTGTTTCCGGAAAAGATCATGTAGCAGCCTGCGGCGACCGAAGTGCCAAAGAAGAGGAGCTGCTTGAGCAGCGGGAAGCGGGAGGCTGTCTGTGAATGCAGCATGTACACCACGAGGATCAGAACCGGAAACACAGTGGCTACCCGTCTGAAGATCTCGCTCCAGATGATTTCTTGTCTGTACTGGTTGTAGACAAGTACGTCCAGGGTGAAGTGCAGCATCGAGAGCGACGACGCATAGAGAATTGCTTCCCCTCCTGGACCAAGGGGATCGTCATTGAACATGAAATCGCCGTCCTGTGCTTTAGCCGGGTGATCGGTCTTCTCGAATGGTTGGCCCTTGGCTAGCAGCTCTCGACGCTCCTCCGCAAGCTCGTACAAAGTCTTCCCCTTGGGGCCTGAGCGGTCCGGTTGTTTGAGCTTGAAATCCATATCGCTTTGATCAAGCTGTGGCATCTTCTTCGTGGTGTCCTTGGCAACAGCCCGCCGCTGATTGCGATTCTGCGGCTGGTTGTTTTCTGCCATATCGTCGTCGAAATGCTGCTTTGCAACTGTGAAGTCGATGCATACATGGGGTGTGGTGCGGCTCCGAGGGCTCGGCGGATTGACGGAACCTTGGTCCTCGTCTCCGAGACCTCGACCTCACCTCCCCCTCCTCACCGCATAATATAAACATGACCTGCCGACTCATGCTCAGCGTTGCCGTCGTGCGTATCGGTTTTGCCAGTACGGCTCACACAACATGTCCTGGCTGACCTGGGCTTCCATCCCAGTCCTGCTCTGCGGAATATGGCTTTACACTGCCCAGCTCAGCGGATCCTTTCCGACCCTGCGAGGCAAGCGCATATGTCTTCTGATCGCTCACCCGGACGATGAAGCCATGTTCTTTGCGCCTACACTACTGGCTCTCACCAGACCGGAGCTCGGAAACCATCTCAAAATCCTCTGCTTGAGCAGTGGGAATGCAGATGGTTTGGGGGAGACGAGGAAGAAGGAGCTCATCAAGAGTGGCATGATGCTCGGTCTTCGCAATGAGGACGATGTCTTGGTCATTGAGGATTCGTACTTTTCTCTGAGCCCTCGTACCTACCCACTCTGCTGACCAGGATTGTCCAGTAATTTTCCGGACTCCATGACCGTAACCTGGAATCCGCGCCTGCTGTCGAATCTCTTGACTTCCGCATTTGCCCCCAAGATGGCTAGTGTTCCCTCAACAAGCGCGCCGCAGGCCACCATCGACATTCTGGTCACCTTCGACCTTGACGGCATCTCCTCGCATCCGAACCACAAAGCACTCTACCACGGCGCTCATACGTTTCTCAGATCCCTCATGCACAGGCATAGTGGATGGGAATGCCCCGTTAAGCTCTACACCTTGACGACTACCAACATATTGCGAAAGTATATGAGCGTGCTTGATGCGCCGGCATCAGTATTGAACATGATGCTGAAGAAGAAAGAGCTTGGAAGCTATCCCACGCCCTTGTTCTATGCCAGTGGACCGGCCGGGTATAGACAGGCGCAGCGAGCCATGACTGCAGCTCACAAGAGTCAGATGAGGTGGTTTCGCTGGGGTTGGATCACTATTGGTAGATATATGATATTGAATGACCTCAGGAAAGAGAAGACGTTATGAACAAGCATTCTAGTACTCTTTGCTGCACGCACTTCTATATCCCTGCGAACTTACTGTGTTTGTCATCCGATATCAGGCTCATCGAACGCTTCACATTCATCTGCCCAAATCTTTGTCCACAAGTCCGGGGTATACATTGTATACGGTCTCAATATTCAAGGTAGCTCTTCTGCTACTTTAGCAGAGCATTGAGGGTTGCTGCATGCTTCCAGCCTGTGGCAGCGTCAGAATATAACTGGTCTTGACTGACCTCCCATAGTTTTACCCGCTGGTGCGGGTTTACAGTGCACGTATCTCCGGACATGGTCCATTACGATTAACTTGCAACTGACAGGTATCTTCTAGCTGCTATTGGCTTTCTATGACAACATTTCTCTGTCGCATCCGGTACAGCGGCGGTCCGTTATCCTCAATCCGCCAGACCACGCTGGGGACTTGGGCAGGGGCTCCTCTTCGAAGTTGAGCTACTTGTGGTTGAGAGTTGCGGGCGCCCATTGGAGATGTATTGATGTGGTCCGTTCCCGTCAGGAATGACAGTATTGCAGCATGAGACGAGGAAGCAGGGGGGAAATGAAGGCGGAGCGGTTTGGTGTCGTGCTAACGCTAAGGTACCATTCTATCTGCGATACCACCTGATACTCAGGGTACGCGCAGAATTGCCTCCCTAAGGTTGCATCGGTCAGAATTTAGACAGCGCCGTGGAGCACTCTGTTGAGTTACAATATACCCAAACCTTCCAGGCCTGCTCTCAACGGCCTGCTGATCAGCAGCGTGGACCGCTGTCAGCATAGAGCCACTGTCTAAAAGATCGAGCTGAGTTCGTATGCAAATGACCGCCGTACTCCTCCGTCGGGATATCGTTTGGGCCGATCGAACGGGAGGATCGTGCCCTCAGGGAAACGGCGGAGATGGAAGGTACTTTTCCTCTTTATACACTCCCTTTTATCATCACCTCGGACAGAGGTTGATGCTCTAGTGGAAGTACACTTGTCAAGTCCAACTTGGACAGGCACTACCGTTGACATCTCTTGTTAACTCTTTCGGTTTTTGTTCTTAGATCCATTGCTTCTTTCCAGTCGTTTAGTAGCTGCTTGATGAACACCTGGAGCGACATATTGGTATCTTGCGGACGTCCCTTCGGGGTGTTATACGTTCTGCCAATTCGTCTGTTGTTTCTTCTACGCTATGCAGTTGTTTGTTGTTGTCTGTGGAACGACTGGCGGACAAACAGTGCGGAGCTGGAGAATCAAGTAGTTCGCACTATCTCTCTCTAAGAGCTTCAGCTGGGTCTTCCGAGTTCTTAGCATCGTTTCTCACCAGGAGAGTTTCCCTTTCGAAAAGACAATAGCGGCCCTCTTCGCAAAGCGTCCCCTTCGGCAGCCAGACCTTGTTCGACGTGGAGTCGCTTCCGCCACATATTCCCCAGAGTTAGATACTCCCGGCTAACAGGCTTGGAGGTTACAAAAGGGATTCAATTCAAAGAGGCCAGAAAGTCCGGATGTGTGACTGAGTATGTTTCATTTTGGACCGTCCGAGACTGCTCGCATGTAGGCCAAGGAATGAGCGTATGACGTTACTTCGCCAGCAGGGAACACTGAACTTTCAGAGGCCCGCCTTACGCGTAGTTTTCGGATGAGAACCCTTCCACGAACAACCAACTCACTCAGCCAGACACCAGGTTTCGACACCTCACTTCTATCACGATCAGAACTCTGCAATTGCCTCTAACGTTTACTCTGCAAACCACACAACAACAAGAGTCTACCACGTCATGGCGAACAACGGAGCTGCAGCCATCAATCTCAGCCCTCTCGAACGGCTCCCACTCGAGCTCGTCTACAGGATTGGCGGCTTTCTCAGTTTTATAGACAGGACAAACTTGGGTCTCACCTCTGGACGCCTCGCTCTCGCCGCCTCACAAGAGGACCTCGGAACAGCGGCACAGTGGCTACGGAGGCGCGGATACGGTGTCTGCACATGCGGAACATGTCGCGGTGGGCCGCCACCAGCCAACGCACATGTCCGAGGAATTATTTGTAGGATGCCTCACCTTCACGGCATCTTCTGTTTCTACTGTGGCGCGGACATGTACGCAACATTCCAACGCCATTATCCAGATCCGTATTGGACCGCCCCTCCTCCTCAAATCGCTCTTCAGCAAGCCGCTCTTCAGCAAGCCGCCACTCCTCAGCAAGCCGCTTCTCAAACGCAGAGTGCTCCTCAGACACAGGCCCCTCCGCAGACGCAAAGGATGCTTCAGACGCAACAGCGCTTGGATTGTTGCATGCTTCCGTTGATGTATTAGCCTTCAACGGCAGAAATCCAGTAATGCCCGATTGGATGTGGCCGATGTGTTGTTGAGCATGTATCCTGTTTGCGGCGGCGCCGATTCTTCCACTGATCAGATCTTCTTTCATACTTCACCCCGTCTGCTGGAGTACCATTACCACATCATTGCGCCTGCTTGACAGCTCTCACGTTGTAGCCAGCGCTACTGACGTGTCTTCTCTCTGCTATTTCTGCTAGCGATGTCTGTTTGCGCTAGGCTAAGTAGCTCTACTAAAACACTTCACGAAAGCTGCTGGAGACTAGCATTCTCGCTTTTCTCAGTAATGACTTCGTATGCTCTAGTATCGCTAGTGGATAATGTCTTCCTCTCGCCCTCAGTCTCAGGCAGACAGGTCTCCAGAACAGGGCGCAGGAGCTCCCAAAGCCAGTACCGATGTCCAGCGACTCAACCTCCTGCAAAGACTGTCTTCTTTTCTCGCTCGACCGTTGAAGCTACAACGAGCCAAGTCCACACCAGACATAGTTACAACAACAGGCCCGGGGCACCCAGCTCCTGGCCCTGATACGCCAGGAGTACCTCCAAGCCGTACTCAACGTCCACCGAACCTGCAGATAGATACCAGTGTCGCAGAGAACACCGAAGAACCTGATGGCTTCTACTCGTTCCCGCCTTTCCGGAGGAACTCCCAGTCCAGCTTGCTGTCCAGTCTCTGTCTTCCATCGTTTGGCTCCGGACACGCGATACCAAGAGCGAAAACTCC